CCCCCCACCCCCCCCCCCCCCCCCCCCCCCCCCCCCCCCCCCCCCCCCCCCCCCCCCCCCCCCCCCCCCCCCCCCCCCCCCCCCCCCCCCCCCCCCCCCCCCCCCCCCGTTGGTATATGGCCAGGTAGATACCTCTTTGGCATCTACGAAAATACATTCAGATCCTAATATTTCCAAGGCATACATTATCGGCCGCTTATGACCTTTATCTTCAAGGACGATATGATCTACCTAGTTACCTCCATCTAGATACAGGATATAAGATGCTCCGAACCACCGTAGCAACGTGTCTGCCACCTGCTAGTCTGGAGGGGCATTACCACTTAAAAGATGTGTGATATCACATGAGAGTGGACAAGATACCGGAAGGCAGAATAAACCTTGGAAGGTCAACTGGAGATTGCCAAGGAATTGACGACAGATTGCCGAAGGACTGGTGTTTTTTCAATGCCATTTCTCTACATGTATCTTGGTGTTATAGCATTTGAGAAGGAAACCATCGGATTGGAAAGCTTGTTGGCTTTTCCATTCCTCAATTCAATAGGCCGACATGGTGTATTGGACTAATCTCTAAAATGGCGATGCAACCCTCTCGACCTAGATCGGGTCAAGCAAAATCGGGGTTCGTGTCATTCGCCGCTGTATTAGTAATTGCAGCAAGGGAAAAGGGCCGGATTTAGAACCTGAAAAGATGCTATAAATAGGTTGTCACTCTGGGAACATATGCATAGTGTCATCAAATTAAAACATAGTGGTTATATCATCTTGGGCCAAATGAATGGTTATCCTGCTCAAGTATCCTACTTTATTAAGGACAAAGGTAAGCGGTCGGCATATTCTTGAAGTTGATTATATTCACATAGATATCTACATGCCACTTGGTACAGAATATAAAATTCACATGATTATCAGAGAAACCCCAGACAGCCTAAACCACATCCATGTGTTTCTCCTGTGTATCAGGAACCACATACTTCCTATCTGGGTCATCTGCTTCCATTCCTTCGAACACCGTGCCTCTATCGTATATCTCGTCAGGTAAAACAGCACGGTCGATCTGAGTCTCTCGCGCAGGAAACAGCCATGATAAAGACACATAGGTAATAGATGTCGCAACAAAGCCCAAGAGCCACCCAAACTCGAACGGATGTATACCGACGCCGACATCAATATGAGAGTTCACGGTGTTGATCAGTCCGGGAAGACATGGCGCAACACCCACAATAAAAGACACCACGGCACGCCAGTTTGTACCAGATATACTCTTACCCGAGAAGCCCGGGATGGAGAACTCATAGCGATATCTTGGGTTATGGGGTTGGTATAGAGCAAGACAGTCATATCGACGGCGGTTGACAACCCAGTAGTCAAACATCATGATTGAAGCAATAGGACCAAGGAATATCGCATATGCAGACATAAAATCAAGGAAGTTGCCTGCCGATTCGAGAATTTTCCAGGGAACAAGACACCACGACAGCAAGGCGCAAAGAAGCTGACCGCGCCGAATGTTGATATATCGCGGTGCTAGTGCGGTGAAATCGTTAGCGGCCGAAAGAGAATTGGCCGAGATGTTCACTCCTAGGGAGGCTAGTGCGAAGGACGCTGCGCCGAAAAATCGACACGCGCGATTGGGCCAATAGCTGATCAGGACTGTTGGATCCCATGGGATAGACGAGAGATTATAGTGAACTTGGCCAGCGGATGAAGAAGCGATGCCAATAAAGGAAAAGAAAGTGAATATAACAGGCAGCATAGGGATATAGAGCAGCTGCCAGCGGGGACTGACGCGGGAGTAGCGGGTGAAGTCAGACTGGGAACGGTTAGCTTTTGTGAAAGTTGGTAGTAAGACAGCATCCATACCATGTTAACGGAGAGTGTTGCGTAGTTTCCCAAGACTGAGGTCATATTGGCCAAGAACAGCCAGCTATACTTGGAGCCGGAGACGGTTGGAGCCTGCTTTTCAAATACGGCACCACCACCTTTTACGGTGACAAACGCCCATATCAAGATAGCAATCCAGGCGATGGGAACCAGAATAGATTTGATTGTAAATAACCAGCGCAGCTTGTTTGGATGCATGCAGAGGAAGGGAATCTGGATCAACCAGAAGATCACAAACCCGACCATACCGCCGGTCGTGATTCCTTGTGACTCGGGAATATCATTTGGAAGATTCAAGAAGCTTGGCCAAATTGCTCCAATCATGACACTGACGGCATTTCCGCCGTTGACATTTTGGATAGCAAACCAGAAGAGAGCAAGGATGACTCGTGAAATAATGGCGATATATGAGCCCCAAAAGCCCCAACTAGCACGAGCAATCACAGGGAATGGGACATGGTATATAGCGCCCACAGTACCGTTCGCTGCGATGACCAACGACATGATGAAGAAGGACAGGGCGACGATGCCCAGAGCTTCACGGTAGGTGAGGCCGACGGCAATCATACCGCTGGCGAACTGCCAGGTTGCTGCATGCAAGGCATCGGAGACCCAATATGCTGATATCATATTCTATTAGCCCCAGCCTGATGGTTGTAAAAGATAAGCACGAGTACCGTACCTATTATACTGAGGATACCCCATTTGCGTCCAATTCTGGTAATCGGGTCGAGATCACGGTTTGTCCACCGTGCATTTCCCGCTGCAAATGCAGATTCACCCTGCGAGACCCGTAAATGGGGCCTGGAGATGCGTAGTTTCATGTTCGAAGATGCAATTGGCGAGATGGTTGTTCTCAAGATAAGGAGGGTTCGGGCCCCGATCCGTATATTAATTAACCTAACACCACAACACAAGGCGACAAACAGCTCAATGATATAGAAGTAATACAATGAGACCAAAAATGATGCAGGTCTCAACGTCTTCTTATTCCCCAGATTTGCCCCCGACCTGCCCCGTGCACAACAGGGATGAAGATAAGAATGATAAGCCTACGGTATGTAGATAAGACTACGGGACGAATGAGAAGAGAGAACTCAAAAGTACCTCGTAAAACTGGTTAGCGTGGAGAGATATAGAGATACGCTTAATTGCGATCCATGATGCATGCGCAGGTCTAATGCGAAAGAACTAATGCGATCGTCACTGCGCGCCCCAGTCATTCGTCAATCTTCATGCAAGTACCTAGGTACTCCATTTACTGTTTCTCACCCGGCAACCGGACATCCTGCCACCCTCTTCCATCACCAACGCCCTCTACACTGCCGTGTGGTCGGACCCCTTGCCACTCCGTGAGGTTGATCCACCCAATCTGCTGTACATCGCCAAATCCACCAATCCAGTAAGCATGGGTGACCACCAACCGGGCCCAGAAACTCGCATGTGGCGAATAAGAAGCACCAGGTAGCCAGACCTTCGCATCGGGATGAGGCTCGAGGAAACACTTCTCGAGGGCCGCAGCTGCGTCATCGGGAAGCGGGGATGGAAGGTTCTCCAAGTAACCGAAGAGGGTGACACGGGGAAGAGCAGCCGGGCTTAGAGGAAGACCAGGGTAGACTGGACCGGCCTCATTTAGATGATCCCACCAGTCTAACTGGAGACTGAGATTAGATCCCGCTGCAATGTTCTTAAAAGTGGTTCCAATGCGAAGGCCAAGAATTGTTGGATCACCGCGATCATCGTGAGAGAAATCCGATGGCAGGGATCCATCACAATCGGCAATGTACTCGCGTAGTCCGATAGACAGACCGGCAACATCTGATGGGGCATGTGCGGAGGGTGGGAGGGACTCTGGGAAGTTGGTGGAGATGACGCCAGAGGGTGACAGCGCAAGCAGCCGACGAGCCATCAAAGTCGAAGTGAACCATGACGGTCGATTCAAGGCACTTTCATCTTCAATATGGTTAATGTTCGGGCTGGGTGTCGAAGTATCTAGTCGTCCGAGAAAGGCTTGGAGATTGTCTGGAAGTGGGACAACAAAGCCGTGAGCCGTGAGGGGTAAAAGCAGCGCAAGAGCGCCAGTGAGGATGGAGGCCAAATGAGAGACCATTATGACGGCTAATGAGATAGACAAGTTGGCATCAAAGGAGCTCTTATATATTCAAGGGTGCAAGGAAGAAGAGAGCAGAACGAAACGGGTAAGTGCGGGGGCATCAGCTGATAGCAATCTTATCTGATCGAGTCACCTGCTACGGCATTCTCTAACCGCCAGTGGTGCCACCTCGGATTTTTCTCTTCAATAGTCTCCAGGCCAAGGTATAGCTGGCTATTTTTGCCTAATACGACATCGGTGGATGATTAGCTATCAATATCAACTAGTTACGAAATTGCCGTACAAAGCTTCTGTCATCCAGTCGCAACTCAAGAGAGCCCAGCAACTACATGTATTTAGGTAGTGTACTAACTATCTAGTAAGCTCTCCAACTTCAACAAGTTCATCTGCTTAACTCCATCCTCAGAGTGCGGTGAGGATTGATTAACCGCGTTGATAGGTCGTCACTCTGGCTTTACGAAATTGAAGGTATCTAACCCCCATTGTTCGTCATAGTCTTTGCCTTCGGGGCCAAGATTCATGTCCTCTTCCCGAAATCAGACTCCATATCTTCCTCGTTAGATCCATTTCGATGCCCAATCTCGTGAAGAATAACAAGCGGTTTAAGATAATATAGGATACAAAGTTTATCTACTAGTATACATGTTTCCACATCTAGATAGGCTCTGGCATCGATATCCTTAATTTTCTGTTAGCGTCAACTACTCCGTAGTATGTATGTCATACGGAGAGATGGGTTTCTTTTCTCGCCATCGTAAACAGCGAGTCCACCCGATAGAAGCCAAGGATTGTCACACCAGACTTCTAAGCATTTGCACTCGTTTCTCAGGAGACCTTGTTAGTCCCGCCCTATTATAATCAGTTGCGGATAGACATGGGACTTTTGTCTGCATATGCTCAAGCACCCCAGGATCGAAATAAAAGTACATAACTCCTTGTAAGAGCCGAGCTGTGAACAATATGTGGCATGCATGAGCTCCACTAGATACTTCCATGTACAACATCGAGACCGGCTAATATCCCCCTCCGGGAATACCCCACAGCCACACCCAAGGTTCACAGCCCCACACAGGTCCATTGACGCCTTGATGACTCACAATAAAACCATGGAATTCCCCGAGGCCGTTCCGAGGTTGCACAGTCAGACTGTCATGTGCACATCTGGGCAGTTCTAAGGTTGCCAGGGAGCTTAGTGATACGAGAGGGGCCGGTATCGCTGTTGAGCTGTATTTGGATTGACTATCCTATCCGAGGAGTTCTCGCCCTCTGGGATGGCAAATATACCACCCCTTAGATAGATAAGTTGATACAGGTGTAACCAGGGCAGACGCCCGCTTCCTCCCAAAGTAACCAGGGTAAATAAAGACCATAACCGTCCCATGCCGACCACTCCGTTCGCAACCGCAAAAGTAGATAAAAGAAAGGGGAAAAAGTGAAAGAGCAGATGCACGATGCAAGTAGAAGACACGCCAGTCATCACCACATCCTACACTTCGTGGGAATCAAACGCCCAAGTCCCAGTACGTACGACCGAGTACCCGAGAATAGGGGTATGTACAACGGGGTCAGGTCGTCGTAGGGGGAAAAAAACAAAAACAAAACGACGGACTTTTTCTTTTTTTGCCTCGCACAAAGGAAATAAGAAAAAAAAGGAAATCCGCTAATAAATCGCAAGTCAATTCAGGTACTCCGCAACACGGAGACTCGGGTTCAACGCGATCTTGCGTGCTTCGCTACCACAGCAGGCACGTTTCATGCCTGCTGGTCCAGAGACTGGGCCTATCTGCGCGGGGACAGCGGAAGACCCATGTTGTGTCATGAACGAACATGGGAACTGTCCGTCAGGCAACCCGCAGTGGTCTCCAGATACACCGAGATTGATTAGGTGGCGCACATGGTTCTGAAGCAAGAGATCGTCGGATCCAGTACGTCCGCGTTTTCGGCACTGACGCCGTTCGGGTGTGGCGCCGGAAAGCTCGCAGAGACTCTGAGCAGCTTCACTCAGGCTGGAATCCAGGGAAAAAGTAGACAGGTCTGGGACGGAAGAACCCATGGAACTGGGATATCCAGGAGAGCTGTAGACGCCAACCAAACAACTCTCGTCAATAGGAGAGGCAATGGCCAGAGTCTTGCGGGACTCCTTAAGGGAATTACTAGTGCAGCGCAATGTGGCCTTGACGGCCAGACGAGGTGGCGCCGAGCCAGAAGCACCGGAGGCATTGGACGAAACTGATGACGACCGCGAAGAGCGGGATGACAGGGTAGAGACGTCCGAAACCATCGAGTCAGGTGATGAGACCGAAGATGTCGAGCGAGCCAAAGACGACCGACGAGCCGCAGCCGGATAGCCATCGTACGATTGAGTCCGAGGGCAGAATGACAGGGGCGGGCGCTGATCGAGTGTTGATCGCGCCATGCACGCATTCTGCGCCTGAGACATAGCCGTACAAATGGATGGGCAGGCATTATAAGCACCCACACTCGCAGCAGGAGTGGAGGACACTTGAGATTGCGGGGTCATCTGTGGCGTAGGAAGCATCATAGGCCGGGGAATACTAGGCAAAGCCAAGTTGGCAAAATCCATGCGCGGAGTGGGCTCCAATGTTCGCGGAAGACTCCGGGCGTAAGTCGGGGTTTGTTCGCGCGACAAAGAGCGCACGGATTCATTGATTGGCAGACTGCGAGGTGAGTATTCCGACAGACCAAGATCCATCCCACTAATCGCCGCAACCGGGCTCAATGGCTCTGACTCTACATAGTCCAGTTCAGGTGTGAGTCTGGGTAGGACAGTCTGCCAGCACTGACCTTTAGCAACCGGGGGTCCACCGGCACCAGGGGTCAGCTTCAAGACCAAATCAGTCCAGCGCTGAAACATTGCTTCATCGATGTGTAGGCGCCATCCGACAGCCTTGAGGAACATAAGCTCGTTCTGGTTAATCTCGAGAGTGTTGAGTCCAGAAATCTTGCTCCAGGCACGAGCGGAGTAGTTGCGATCCTGCAAATACTTCGAAGCGAGAATCAGCGCTGCCAGGAACATCCGTCGTCCACACTGCATCGCCCGCAAAGGCGACTGATCCCGAGGCTGCTCCTTGGTGAAGTCATGCGTGGGCACGTGAGGCTTTATTTTGATCAAATAGTACAAGGCCACCTGCAAGGTACTGTAGCTAGTACGCGAGCGGCGGAGAGTTTCCTGGATAAAAGTGCGGAGGGGAAGAACCCCTTTGGATCCGGTCGCGGCGTCACTGCGGGATGCCGCGGCAGAAAGGGGCCAGATGGTCTCAACGATCTGTGACGCGGTGTCTTAAAGAAGCGGGAATATTATTTAGCCGGGTGTACGAGGACGTACTTGAGGATTCTCTTTTTCAAGACTTACCGACGAGGTTGTCGACGAAGTTCACCTTCCGTTCCGACTGCCGTAACAGACATGGCGGAGGGCGCGCACTGGGAGCGCTAGAAGAATAACTGTTAGTGCGCCGAGGGTGCGTTCGCAGCTCGGATGGCACTACACCGTCCACCTTAGAAGCAGGCCCCTTGGCAAAAGCCCGGGGGCATGCCCCGTTCGGATTTCTTCCCGCCAACTGGCTATTACTCTCATTCTCCCAAATCACGTCAACCGGGTTGGTAGATGTCGATGATATCGAACTCTGCGAGGAAACGCAATCGAGGGAGAATACAGAGGAGGAGGAGGAGGAAGCGGAGGAAGAGATCGATGAGGCATAGGGGTGAGCGTGGTGAGACGCTGTCAATTGAGAGCTTGGGTTTGAGAGGTTCAACCCCAAGACGTCCATCCCTGACATATCCGAAAGTACTGTGGAGTTCATATAGCGCGTTTGTGTGAACACAAGTTCAAATGAAGACAGCCGGATAAAAGCGAGATGGTCCGATTTTTTGGAACCGTAGTGTCAAGATACCGTTAAGCAGGAAACCGGGAACGAGAGCCGAGGAGACAGAAGCCGTCTTTGCGACGAAGGCGACGGCAGACCTTTAAAAGTAGAGAGCCAGGCTGATAACCAGACGTAGAAAAATAAGCGGAACCGCCGGGTGTAGCGGTTAAAAAGAGGCCAAAGAGGAAACAATCAACTATGAAGACAAGAAAAGGAAAACGTATTCACGATCCGATCAACCAAGTGCTTCTGATATAAGAACCAAAGCAGGGGCACGTGGCAGTATGACTCTTTTGTCCGAGTGTATTAGATGGAGCCGGAGACGGTGACGATGCGGAGGTCGGTAACAGCAACACAGGCGATCGGAACGGATGAATCAATAAGGTACATTTTGAAACAAGTCGTGTGATAGAAAAGGGTTTATATCAAGGCACCCAACGGACCGTGGACAGGCAGAACCACGCTGGTGGCTTGTCTGTACAAGGCAGTCGTTGAAGCGGCTAGGCAGAGGAGGAGGCGAGAGTCGGGGGAGGTGAGGCTGATGGAAGGCAAGATGTTGTTAGAGGAGTCAGAGAAATAAGAGAAGACATTTCACTATGGAACGACCTTACCTATGACTCTTCTCAAAATCTGTTTTTAAGTTGACTAAGAAAGATTCGGGGGGGGGCAAAAAGGAAGGGGAAAAGAGAGTCACACTGTGGCGAGAAGAAGTGGGTGGCGGGTTAGGAAGATGCCGGGAGGCGCAGGGACCACGACTGTATACAGAATATAGAATATAGTCAAATATTCCACTTCTTGATGATATTCTCCCTTGAATCAGGAGATGAAGAACATTCTCTAGAGATGGTGAGAGGGGGGAAAACCCGGATGCGGCGAAGAGACTCCGAGATAGGAGGGCAGGAGAAGCCCTGGAGTGGTACGACGGTGACTCACGCTGCTGTCACTTTTCTTCTTATATGCTATTAGATAGTCTAATATCTTCTATCTCATGTTCTATATCTATTATCATGCTAATCTTGATATTCTAAACATGACAGAGTACCTGGAATGTTTTGACTATACAGTGGCACCTTATGTCTGTGTAGCCACTCATAGCGTGATGGATCTTATTTTAAGAAAAAAAAGACCCCATATTAACAAATCAAGGGGAAGGTTCATGAGATGTTCATCATAATACTCAACCACAGCTGGAATCCATCCATTCTGAAGGCTCTGTCGAAGTTCCACTGAGTCATAAAAGCCGCTTGCCACGCTGTCTTCGCACTTGGGCCAATCCACGCGCGGCTGTTAGGCTGTGATCCACTATAATTCCCATTATTCCACGATTATCTCTATGCTGATTGGCTGACACTGCGATCGGCATTGGTTGGGGTTGCCTGCAGCCTTCCAGATGGAGCTGGGGAACCTCGGGAGTTGGAACTCAGATGACCTCACGGTGGGAACTTAGGCTGAAAACAAAGAGCAGATATTTCACGGTTAGGCTTCAAGGTGTGTGGGTTTCTCGAAGGTTTAACTATCTACAATATAGAGATCACCACTACAGGGCAGCTAAGTGGCAAAATATGCGGTCTGTAGTGATGTGGGAGAAAAAAAGGCAAATTCGAAGAAAAATCTCCATAGCATGTAAAATGTATCCGGAAAGCTCAGGTATGATGTACATCGCATGTACGGAGTAAGCTATCTACAAGTAGTATAGAACAAGCACCTCCCGCAACACACCAGCCCCCATACTTCGGCCTCTATCCTCGTTAATATCGAATAAATCCTATCAAGATATCCACTCACCGGTGTTATAGTGCAGGATGCTGACCGGCACCACCCCGTCCTTTACATTGTCCAATCTGCACACGTCGGCCAGTAGCCGGTGGCTGTAGCTGTAGCTGTACATATGACCATTGCGGAACCAAAAGGCCGATCGACGCTCAACTTCATCCACGGGGCGCGGACTGTCCACTCCCTGCACAACGAAACTAACAACCGGCATACGGAGCTCCTTGCTGGCTGAAGGTTCACCGATAACGGGAATCCGGCTATTAGAAGCTAGGAATTCCAGTATAATCTGTTGCGCTCCTCGTGCTTGGCCATCGGGGCCCAGGTCGTGCTAGGGTCGGAGTCAAAAGTACTCCACAACCTGGGGGATACTCTGTGTAAGCTCATAATTAGCCGATATGAGATTCAGCTTCATGCCTAGGGTATATGCGGGCTTGAAGAAATGCCCCAGTGACTAGATCTGGTCGTGAACGCGTGATGAGGTATATAGTTGCGCCAGTGTGGTCCATACACCTTGTACCAGGATAATGCCTTGTGGGGGGAGGATCAGCAATGAACCGGTCACCCAAGGCTTGGGTTGCAATTTACGTAGAAACCCACGCTCAACGCCTTCACGTCGACCCGACGATGCGGCGCCAGGGCCACTCCATCCACACACATCAGTGCTTAGAACCCAATATGTTTTATGGTCACTCACGCGGGATGAACATGAGCAACCTCTGCGATCTTTCGGATGGTACTGATAGTGCCAGTGATATTGGAAGCATGAAGGCATGCCGCGAGTCTGGTCTTATCGGAGAGCAGGGACCCTCACTCAGCTGGATCGCACATTGAATTCTTTGGTCGGCGCCCACCACTTTACGGTCAAGCCCAACCTCTCTGCTATATGGACCCACGGGGAGGTATTGGCTTTGTTGTTAAGTTTGTATAGGACTAGTTCATTGCCAGATTGGAATTTAATCGCCGTGGAGAGATTGCACAATAGCTGAGTGGTTGATATACCAATGCTGATCTGATTCCATACATTCACCCCCGAAGTTGGGCAGTTCTTATACTTCTTGGGAAGTAAACGCTATTGATTATAGTGCAGATACCTCCTCAGGCGCGGCGTTAGTGAGCTCAGCAGCTACTTTGCATGCATTTTCGTACGTATCAGTCGAAGTCTGGGAGACATTATAGCTGACTCTGAGCCAGACATTTGTGCTTAGCAGGTAAGAATGGATGCTATGGCCACGTTAGTAGATTAAAATCTACAATAGTGTCGATCAGATTAACGAGAGTATCGAGAACCTGATTTCCGCCTGTCGTTTAACAATCAGCAAAAGTCTCGTTTATAAGAACGGAGGGCCATCTCATCAGCGTTGTTATTGCAGTGTAGGGAAGCCAGAGCGAGCTGCTGAAATATCGAGAGCAGAGGTCAGACTCGATTGTTATAGCTAGGTGATATATGCACTATTAGGCGTGGGAATTGCAAGATACGAAGGATGTCTGTCCATTGATCATTGTCAGCTTGGGAGGGGTAAACAGTGGAGCTAACGGAGGTTGCTCAAACATCTACCCACATTGCCCGCCGTATATCATCCCTCCATCAAGCAATAGAACAAAGTGTTCCTTATCAATAGACACCTCCATCTTGACAACCCGTGTATAGCAGTCCTACACATAGCCATGGTATGGAAAACTTGAATTAAATGCGAAGATTTTGTCTCCATCGGGTATATGTATGAAATCCAAAGCCACCAAACAAGACCCATAAAAACACAACGAGAAAGAGAAACCGGAAGACTCGAGCAGCCATATTCGCAATAAAGAACAAGACTTCCACTACCGGGAGCGCGAGCCCGATGCCCCAGGTCCTCCGCCGGGGGAGGCATCATGTACCACACACAGCAGGTACTTCCGATCCGGCACGACCACAATCTCATGTTTCTTCGTGCGCATTCTCAGCAGCTTCACTTCTCCATCCTCATCCCGATCGAGATCATCGCCGTCCCGGTCTTCCTCGCGTGCTGTGCCCGCCTCGTTCCCGTAGTCGTAGTTATCATCCCAATGGCTGTCGCTGGGTCGCTGCACAGTGGGAGTGGGCCGCGATAGTGACACACCGAGTGCCTCGGCACTGGAGACAAACGCGAAGATGTGGGCAGCTAGTGTCTCGGCTTGTGAGGGTTGGTAGGGCTGTGACACGGCGGGTGAGGTAGGGGATGGTTCTGTGGGTTGAGCGGCGGAGAGGGCAGTCGGATCGGTTGTGGCTGAGGGGATGTGTGCGGTTCGAGAACCTCCGTTCTCTTCGGTCATTTGTGCTAACTGTCCTGTGCTTTGGATGATGGATCCGTCTTTTCGGGAGAGAATCAAGGTGGATTGCACGCCGGGGCGCGAGGTGAGGTGCGAGAGCAGCGCGGAAACATGCTGGGGGACCTGCTGTGTGCGCTTTGGAGGCTTGTTAGAATATTTGGGTCCATTTGGAGGAGAGGTTGCATTTACTTGTCCTGAGTTCGCCATGTTTGGGGGGTTCCGCGGGGGAATGTGAAGAGTGTTGGTATACGGTGTGAGGGTTATGGTCGGGGGTGAGTTAGACGAGCACTGAGCACCTCATATCTTTGCAATTGCTGTTTTCGCCACGTGCTTTTCTTCGGCCAGAATGATTGAAGCACTTGGAGTTCAAGAAGTTAGTTAGTTAGTTACTTGGTCTCCAAAACAAATGACTAAGCATTAGGATGGGCACAAAACATCCAATGAATAGATCGAATCCTCCGGTAAAGACCTCTAAGCTCTTTGGGTACTGATAAAACGACAGGATTTGACTTAATAGCTCCTCTATTATTCAAGACCTTCTAGGTAGTTTCAATTCTGTGCGCGTTTTATACGGTGTACTATGTCAACTCGGCCTAAGTATATAGGTCATTCAGTAATAATAGGAATGCAAAAAGATCAATAGCAAAACAAAATGGTATCATGAAAAATATAGGCAAAGATAGAGAGGGCCTGGATATATAGAAGTGGAAGCCAAAAAGATCATCACAAGCCAATAAATGAGCGACACCGTGGTGTCAGAAGCAGTAAAGATGTAAAAAAGAAATATAAGGAAAGCAAAAAAAGAGATCATTATCTATCGTTTGCGGGCAATTCGAGCTCCACTGAGACTAGACTTGTCCGACAGCCAGCCAGACTCGATGTCTTCGATCATGTTGTCCAGCTGTTTGACGTTTGGCCGGCCATCTCGGTAGGAGCTAGAAGTCTCAAACCCGCTGTACTCACTGCTGCGGGAAGAACTGACCCAGCTGTCAGGCCGTGATGTATGGCGGCCGGGATATTGGTGTGCGTGTGCGGAGCCTGATGACATGTGCGCGTCTAGATTGAGACCCTCGAGAGGGTTCTTGACTCCAGCGTTGAGCGCCGCCATAAGAGCGGCCTGTAAAATATGGTTCTGGCGTTCCAGATTCGCAACCCGGTCCTCGAGGTAGTGATCCACTTGAGGAGCAGCGCGGGTGTGGTGACTGCTTTGAGACTCCCTCGATCTGTGGGTTGATTGCGAATATTGTGACTGAGGAGACGAAGTCTTCCCAAGACCATGGGTGCTGCGGCTTTGGGGTGTCATAGGGCGCGCAGGATTGGAGTCACGAAGGCGACTGCGTGAGGACATCTGTCGTGGATCCATTGTCTCATATCCTCGGCGTGTTGGTTGGATGCGTTGGTATTTGTCGGCTTTCCGGCGCGAGCATTTGCCGTCTATCCCTGGACCAAAAACCTCATCGTCTGATGATGGAAGCGGGGATTCGGTGCGAGATTCGGGGCGACTTTGTTGATATGTTTCGGGGAACCTCTCATGTCGAAGGCTACTCCCTGAGCTGTCGCTCCGGGATAAGGTCGAGCCTCGGTAGGGCCCCGATGAAGGATGCACCTCCATCTTCCTCATTGACGGCAGAACAGCCACATTAGGCGCAGTGTAGTTGCGTTGGTCAACCTTTTGCTCAGAAGGCGGAGGAGGTGGGTGCTGAGTAGGTGGAGCTGATGGGAGTGATGAAGTGGGTGGCGGTGATGGTAGACCGAATGGAAGATTTTTTCGACTGGCTTGGGAATTGACATGAAGCCCCTTCAAAACAGCACGTTTGCCATTAGATTTTGTAGGGGTTGGGTGTCCTAGGACAGGAGAGTCGGCCAGAGGCTGTCCTTCTGAGACCTTTGCACCACATTCACTCGAGGGACTTTCGGGAAGTTCTTGCATCCTAGGGATGCGCACACTTGAAACACGTCCTCTCGGAATGCAATGTTCCGGGGTTGGCTGGTAGTGTTCCGAAAGCGAAGTGGTAAACAAGCTGTCCTCATCATCGGCCATTGACTCCCCGGCATCGACGCTGCCAAGAGAGTTTGTAGGGTCCGAGTCAAGGGCACATGGACTATCAATAGCGGATTTGAGCTCCTGGTCTTCGATTAGTGTTGCCGAAGGAGAATACAAATTGGTAGACAGTGGCTGCGACTCAATCGCTCGAATATTTGAAGCTTTCGAGCGAGTGTTGGAGTCCGGAGTGCTTGGAGAGCATTTGGTTTTGGGCAGTAATGGCAGGGGCTTTGTAGGTGCCGGGAGAGGAAATGCCTTCAGTGTGCCCAGAGACAACGAGAGTGGCCGAGTTTTAGTCTCATCTTGGGAGGCAGAATCCTTTGGGGCTTTTTCTATAGATAGTGCCGCTGCAGAAGAGGTCGCATAAGGTACAAGGGCACCAGAGCACTTTAGTTCTGCCTCGCTGACTGGAGCATCTATAAAACCATCTGAAGACTTTTTTCGCTCGTCTGGAACATCGGGGGCGCTGTCAGAAGATGGAGTTCGTGAGCTGGATGCTGTGGTATTTTCGATCGTTTGGTACCGAGGAATTGATGAATTTCTCCATGCGCCCCTGCTAGACTTGCGAGGTGCAATATCGGGAAAAAGCTTCAGGGTAGGCGACAGGGGTGTTACATTTCGAACAGAAGATTGTTCTGATTGAGTTCGCTTTTGGCTATCAATGGACGGTTTAGGCTGTGGCTCGGTCACATTCACACCCACGGATGTATTGATCGTGCCTCGTGAGACAGGGTCGGCACGGATACTCAACTCTGCAGAGCTAGATGACCGTTGGATTTGCTCATCAATTGACGCGTTCCTATTGGAATGACTGGTAGAGGCTAACGAAGAAGCTGGCCGGATGATATTGTGAGGACCAGGGTCTGCTGTAGAACTTGACATTGGAGTAGCCGATGAGGATTGGGAGGAAGGGTGATCGGTGGGCTGATATGGCGGCGGCATGGAATCGTCGAAATCGGAAGCGAGTGAGACTGCGACATCGACCATTGAGCCGAAATCATCAAGATCCAGAGAGCCCAAGCTACGTCTGGTTTCAGTAGGGCGCCTGTTGCCATCGACTTTGGCTTGCAGCCATGGCTGTCCAATGTTCTCCACGTCCTTCTTTGATTTGGAAAGAGATCGAGAGATAGATAGCGACAGGCTTTCTTTTGATCGCTTTGCTTCCTTTTGTCCCTTTGACTCCTTTGGTAAAGCCGCTGGCATAAGATATCCTTCCCTTCTCAGTGCTTCGATTTGACGCTCTTGTTCTTCTTGCTTTGACCTGGGTGATGATTCCTTCTTTTGGCGCTGGGCAAACTGCAAAAGGCGACGATGAAATGGTTTCAGGTCCTGCTTTGGATCTAGCTTTGACTCTGGCTTTGATTCTTTAGGCGAAACAGGAACCGGGAGTGCAGTGGTTGTATCGGAAGGACTGGAGGGTTGAGGTTCAGAAGGAGCGCGAGAGCGGGGTTGAGGTTGGGATGGAGCCGGGGGCTGGGAGGGTATATTTTGAGCCTGGAAGAATCGAACCATGTCCACTAGGCTTTCATTTCTACCGGCTCTTTCAGCCGTGCCTGCTGATCGGGCTTCAGGTCGTGGAGCACTACCACCTTGAGGCCTAGGAATGACTAGAGGCTTAGGTGCTGGCCCAGTCTTTGTGGACGTCATGTTGGGGATCCTGCGTTTCGAGGGGGGATCAGGTCGATAAGTCCGAACGATTGGGCTTGGTGCAACGGCACAGTCATGCGGTGAATCAAACTGATGCATAGGGAGACGAAGCATCAATTACTGGCTTGCTTTGCAATCCGGCAGTTCCCGGGTGTCGACATGAAAACCCAGGGCTTACCGGTTAAAGCAATAGACAGTGCTATACTTCTAAGTTAGAAGGATAAACCGAGGCACTGGCTCGGGAGCGAGGCATTCTCACCTGCTCAAGAGGGCCAACACAATAGGGGCCAGGGGCTATATAGACGCGCGAGGAATATGAATATGATACGTCGACACAAGTTGACACCACTATATACAGGGGGTGTCGATATGTACAAAGTCGACAAGAGTTGGCGAGCGTGGCGTTCTGTATGGGAGAATCAGAACGAGCGAACAAAACTTGGGACTGCGAGGCGGAAATGGAGAGAGTTTAATAGGATCTCAGGTGAGCTGTCGCATCCTTACTTGGAGGGGATCCTTGAACTAAAACGAACACAGGAGTAGTCCCAGGAAGCCCCTCCCGGAACCTGGAAAGGCGCAGATATACAGGGTGGTTGAGGCTAAAACGGTAGTACGAATCCGAAGAGATGATGAAAATGAGTTTTTCCAAAGGGATTCGTCCGAGCAAGGTCCTGTGGAGAACTTTTCAGACTAGGCAACTCTAGCCATCAAACATGCTGTGGCACTCGCGATGTATAGTTTGGGATCCAGCAGGTAATATGACACAACGCTTGTATGGCAGACTCGGGCGTGCCAATGCAGCTGCATGTTGCCGTCGGGGATTCGGTCCCTTTTCCTCATTGTGTTTATTGTGGCAAGGACAATGCTGGCCAACCATAGACCAATCGTCAATCGAACGGCTCTTCACTAATTGGCTTTTCTCCTTCCTGCCCCCCTTAGAGAATGCAAGGGGGGTGAGAAAAGAAAACGTCAGGCCGGCCTGTACTCCGTAACCCGGGCTCCCCGCCGGATGTGAGGTATCAGATCCAACAGAACAAACCTTTCAAGCCAAGCACTTAGCATGATCTTCCCGAGTAAAGCAAGAATTTAGATCGGACCTGTGCAGATCCGAGGGTATAGACAGTCGATCATGGCCGATCTTTTGGGGGGGGGGGAAGTACATGTAAATCGGGGAAATGAGAGAGGGTGAGATAGCTCACACTCAATTCTTAGACTATTGAAAATACATAGGGGGTCAATAACATAACATATTGATCAATGCGAATGACTTCAAAGATTGAATAATAATATACAATATACAATATGTCGATATGTCAATAATATGTAGCAATGTGGGAACACTACTCCGTACTACATAACTATTAATCTATACCGGCATTATAAGTGAGAATGAGAAACTTGGATGTGAGACCCATTCAACGAAAAGAAATAAGATTCTGGAAGAATGAATCATGAAGTGAACCCCTTGCCTTGACGTCTCACACATTACCTACATATTGTAGATAGTACGGAGTACTTTGTACACCATAACCATTTCCTGCACTTAATCTCCGAAAAAACGCTCTTCTTCACATCTGTAGTACTCAATTTCGTGGTCCTGAATTCCCAAAACAAAAACAAAAACAAAAAAATAAAAATAAAAATGCAGAAGTGCCAGACCCACGCTACAAGACATGTCAAGTCTTCCCCTCTTTGTCTCCAATAATATGTTAAAGGATATCCACTTCCAAGACCGTAAAGAAACCAGTATAAGCGAATAAGAGACAGAGTCTAACACACACATCACAGCAAACAGGATAGTTTTAGTCCTTGGGCATCGATCGGGAATTGACTTGGAAATGGTATACATATTCTATACTCCGTGCGGAGTACATGTACATGTACAATATACAGCATTTCAGAGCCTATCTAATAATAGGACTCCGCACTTTTGTCGTTTGCCTTCTGATCGTTTACGAAGAAATAAAAATACGGTTTTCTCTTTCTAACAATCGAATTTTCTATAGATGATATTAGATTATTTTGCTTGTGATTTTCTCGCTCTCCAAGGCTATGGGGATGAATGACTAAAGTCAATGTTCCGTGAGAAGATATATGAGGTTCCAGTTAAGGCTTTGGCTTGGAGCCTTGGTATTGTATATATCTTGCTTTTACCTGCTGCAAGGGCCCCTGGCCGAAGGGCTTACCGATGGGTCTATTCAGCGCCGGTCTCGGTTTTCGCAGGGCGAGGCCATCTGCCTAAAACAGACACCATAGTATGATATCCGAGAAATCTTGAACTGGATGCGTGTTCCACTGGTGGCTTATAGGTAAAGCCCGCAAAAAGCTCTAGGCCCAGCCTAGGTCACGGTACCATTATATCGGATGGATTTGGTTTTGCTCGTAAACCTTGGCTGAAAAATTCATGGGCCGGGTCCGTACGCAATCGCTTCTTTTAACACCTTAGTCACACCGGATGATGCACGGCCCAATTCGCCGCCTTCCTCTCTGGCGCTCTTGATTCCACGCTCGATTGCTGACTGGAAACGAGTCGAGAAAACGCGATACCTATCCTCACGGGTTTCGTACATTTCTCCTTCCTCATCACGCGGCTTCCCAAACAGATTCAGATAAGCGAATGGGGTAGATGAGTCTGAGATCATGTGTTGGGCGGTCTGACAAAGTGGAAACGGCCAGTCGGGACTCTCATCATCACCCGACATCTCACTATCGACACCGCTGATAGAAGGGTTTCCGATCCCCGCATCTAAGAACTTTGCCAGAGTCCCAAGCGTTTTGACCATGGGCTTGCCCTGGCTGCCAGACTTCCCAAATGAAGCCCGGCTTGAAGACCACTGCGATGACTCTTCGGTGTGCCAGCCCAACACAGACAAGAAGCAGTTGAGTGTTTTGATCCATCCTCCCGCGCAGGAAACTGTTGATTCTCCCGCTGCCTCGACCATCCATGATAGTATCTCCACAGCAGAACTACGGATGTCCGCTGCAAGATGGGTCATTCCTGCACGAACGTAGGGAAGGAGTTGCGCCACATGGTCTTCGACATCGCCCGGCGGGAGAGTCCGCAAGAGCTTGAGGAGCTGAGTCCGTACACTGGTGCTTCCATCGAGGATGAGCGGCAGCAGAGATGGTAGAATAACGCTGACTGGTTGTGGGAGAGGCGAGTTTACTGGCCGAGATGATATCGTCGTAGTCAGATAAGCGAGCGACTCCCGTCGTTGGCTGTCGGACTTGGCGTTGAGGAGAGATAAGTTATGCGTGAATACGGCATTTGCAGTTGGGGCAGCAAGGTGGAGAGATTGTTGCGTGAGGACAATAGCTAGTAATCGTGAGCATAACCACATACTAAGCAGCCAAAAAGATACACATACCCTTCGATTTGAAACTGGTATCAGTGTAGTTGTCGGGCTTCGCTTTAGTTTTTCCAACCTTCAGTTTAGGTTTCTGCAGAAGTTAGTAGGTTGAACAAGAGAAACGGAGATTCACAATCCTAACCTGAAAGTCCTTTTGCTTATCCTTCTTTCTTTTAGAGCTGGCACCCATGGCTGCGCAATGTCAATTGATTGAAGATGGATGGCTGTAGGTGATCTTTTTTTGCTCTGATTATCACACGTGACTTATCATATCAGTTATTGCCTGAGGCATGAATTTTCCCGAACGGGAAAACCTGCCGTACACCTGGGCAATGTTCCGGGAAATCGGGCATCTAGCTCTCAACTCGATATATAATCGGGCTTTCTACCCATAGCCCGTGGACGAATTCGGGTACTAACTTGCAGTTGCTTGATTTCCTAGAGATCGTCTAACGTCTTTGGCGAATTTAATCGATTCGTCCATTTTCCGGAATATAATATGCCATCTTGCCGAACAAAAACTTGGACATTAGAAATTTCATTTTGCCATCAATCCTTCTGAATGCTTCATTCTTCTGGATAACTTCCATATTTATCGGCTCTGTTGACTTGTGCTAGAATGTTCTTGACGGTGTGTCGTCTCAAGAAGGTCAGGTGCTCGTTATGACGACCAATCATATCGAGCATCTGGATGAAGCACTCATTCGGCCTGGCCGCGCAGACAAGAGAGTGCATTCCCAGCTTGCCGACAACTTTGCTTCCATGGTGCCAGACCAATTTTTCAGTCTAGCTGAAGTTTTGTCGTTCTTATTGGAGCAGAAGAACTCACTTTTTGGTGCTGTTACTGGTGTTGAAAACTGGATAGAGAGGACAAAGGCTGGGAGCCAATTAAAGAGAGAGGATATTGAAATTTCCAAGTATATCTAACTACTAATCCAAACCCGCCATAAAAGTCAATACGCATATTTGCCAGGAAAGTTGGCACGGCTGAAAGCAGTTTACTCTTAGTATGATGAATAGCGGGCAATCACCTAAGCTTGATGAATAATTTCTTGAAATCAAAGGATAGGAGAAGGAATGAAGGAATTGCTAGAGGCATTTAGCTTGCACCTTGGGAATTTCATCAGCAAGACCAAAATATCAAATGCCATCACCAGCAACTAACCACGAGACCCTCCTCCAAGGGCCTTGGCCACCGTCTCCTGCGCGGACTGCAGTATAGACTTGTTCCTCTCTAGCCCATAATCTCGCTCTTCTCTCGGACCACCCTGTCCAAATTGCCAGATATTATCGGGTGTATCTGAAGAGCGACGAGACGTCGCCTTCGTATCTCCTGCAGAACTCAATCAGTAATCTAGCCGGCATCAAGAAAGAACACGTAGAGCGACTCCAGATCCGACGTCATTCGCCGTACCCGTAAAACAACAAAGCCAGCGCGCTATCGCCGCTCGAAATACGCACCGGGTTGGAGCTGTTCAGCTATCTTCTCGCGTGCATGACTGGCAGACTCATGGACGCGGCCGGTGACCCTATCTGTGGTATTGGTCTTGGTTGTGAATGGTTCCGAGGCTTCTATTATGTGTGAATAGGGTTCTGCATATCTAAGGAAATCCACGAGACAGCCACTCACCGTCCGTGTTAGACATGTTG